CAGTCAGAGTAAAGACATACTGAAGTAAACTTGTAATTAGTTAAGTAATAAAGATAATTTTTAAAAACGGTTTGTCCATAGTCAAACAGTTAACTCATGTCACACATAAGAAACCTCGCTCGTTCATTGTGTCAGTCCAAATGTCCAATCTGAGACAAATATTGTCAATCTTTGACAAAACACAAGCTTCATATTTTTTATGGGTCATCTTTTTTTAAATAAGCTGCACTAAGTAAGTAACGTTAAAATTAGGTTGAAGCACTTTCAGAAGACGTAAAAATCCTTCTCCGTCCACAATGTTGGAAGGCCGCAAATAATTGCCGACAAAAAACGCTAAAGCCTGCAGTGTTTTGTTGTATTTTGAACATACCTCCAAAATAGAAACCAAAATTAAAGCTTGTAAAAATGCGTCTTCTAAAGTACTTTGTGGAGGTATGTTACTATCCGTACTAGCATCAAAAAAACTTTTTCCTTCCAACATGTTTTCTAATTCAATAGACTTCACAAAATATCCTATATGTTCATAAATATATGTTCTGTGACTTTGGGCAGTGTTTACATTTTTGATAATTTGACTCGATACGAGTACTTTATTTCGATACCAAGTATTTGCTTCGAAAGAACAATTCAATTACCAAAGTACTCGGTATCGAATACCTACTTGTATTTACTTGTATCGAATCATCCCTATCCGTCAGACGTTACAGAATGCCGATTTCACTATAGCTGCAACTCCAAGTTTACACCGGACTTTAAATATAGGTATATCAAATGTAAAAGTTACATCGATGCAAACACGAATTACAGAATCGCACCCTTATAAAACGGGAACAGGGAATGGAGACCGGACTGACACGATAACAAAGTATTACCCAAAGTATTTTAGAGCATGTAATAATATTACTGTAACTTACCCATAGCTTTTCACTATAAATTAGGAGCAACTTTTGGTAATGCTTTACGATGTGATCTGGTACTAGGATTGCCGCTTTGCCGATTAAGACTATGCTCACCTTATAGAAAATCTCACAACAAACAATATTTTTCGTATAAATTTTTCAATTAAATGCCGTTTTCCACCACTTTTCGCCCTCTGAAATTCACCAATTTCCAAAACAAAACAACGATCGCCATGATAGTTCAGCACTTTGCGCCGGCGTGCCAGTCAACATTTTTCGCGTAGTTGCCAGTACTATTATTACCACTTCCTTAACCACCTACG